ATATATATATATATATATATATATATATATATATATATATATATATATATATATATATATATATATATATATATATATGGATAGAGGAAGAGAGAGGGAAGGAAGAACCTGTCTTGGTAAGTAAGCCAATTTTAATTTTAGGTCGATGATGCAGTAGCTAAGGCAACCAGAGTCATCGATAAGTTTTACATCACCTTTCTCCACATTCAAATTACGAATTTCAGTACTTCTAATGAAATTCTCATATGCTAGGTGAGAATGAATGTAAGCATGCTTCTAGCATTTCTTACCACCAAATCTCTAAAACCAGTTTCAATGTACATTTTCCATCTTCCTGTAATAGAAAGAAGAAATGTGTCACGGGACGCACGTAGGCCCAATAAATCTTCGCATAATGCATGAGCAATATTTTACGTGTAGTTATGCACAATACGTGTACGAACATATGTGTAAATAAATATATATACATGTGCTTCTATCAACGCGCGCAATACTTCCCATGCACAACTAGGACAGTGAAACAGAATGACAGCTCGCTGTCACCTGTCACTATGGAAGTATTTCCAACTTGATGGTCCGACCAGCCGTTTTGCAAAGGGACTAAACGGCCCGACCTCTTCATAACATTCTCACTTGCTTGGGTGGATCTCCTGGATGGACAAGTTGGTTGATTTGTTGTATGTTACAGAGAGAAAGGAAATAAGGAATTATCATTTTGATTTACACCAAAGATTAAACTAGAAGATTGTTCATACTGTTTTGGATAATTCCAGACTCTTTGATACTTTTTTATGCCAGAAATATTCAGTCATCAACGGCCGAGAAAGATTTCCTCTTTTTCTTCCTTTCTCTTAACTGTATTTAGTGAATCTGATTTTGAATTAGGTAGCTTAGATTGAGTAAGAAAGATCAAGTCAGATAAGCATGTGATATACCACTGTAATTTGTTTGATATTCTCGATGCCAAAACGTCCCTATTATTACCACTGTAATGACGTGAATAGATCCAGTTTTTTAAAACATCTCCAATTGGATTATTAATTGGCTAGCATTACAGTTACAATTAACATATTCATTCTAATGTCACGTTTCTTCTAACGCATTCATTTATTTGCGTGAGTCGTTGGCCTTGTGTGAATCACGATTGGAATATTTTAATATAGTTTTTGTGTTGCAGGACTATAGTGAAAATAATAGCTGAAAGGGAAGGTGGACAAACGTTATATTGGAGCCAAAACAATAATTGTGCTATCGTTTCTATGCAATTTCTATGAATGGTGCGCCAGGGGGTTCTCGGCAGTCGCAGAAAGCACCACCGGAAGGCGGTCCTATCCGCCAACCTGCTACTATTCGTGCCCCTACACAACAACAGCCTGCTGTTTCGGTGGCTATTTTTCCGCAACGGAGTGAAGCTGGCCCGAGCTGTCAGGTCTTTTTATATCCTTCTCTTAGGAGCAAAGAATCGGGTGTAACTTTTTTTTTTCGAACGTTTTCATATAACTTTTATCGTTTCAGCCTAGCACTGTTCCGTCATCGCAGGCATTTCCTAGTGTCGTGCAACAGTCAGCCACTTTGAGGGAATCATTTCCTGTGCTACATTCGCCCGCTGTCCAGCATCCGCTGGGTTGGTCGCCACAATTTGAAATGCAGGTTGTATTACAGACGATTGATTTTTTTTGAGGAATATAAGGATGCGTATGTACAGTGGTTTTTAATTTTGAAATTTGTATTATAGCAAGTAGGGATGCTTGTATAATCTTGCACACTTCGTATGTATTATTTGTATTATTTTGGTCTTCATGATGCAGTATTTAAAATTTCTTTGGTATTGTTGTCAGTTCCTCTGACAAAATATGGGAAAAAATGTTTGAGGTGGAAAACTCCACTTCATATTTCAATTTCTCCTGATTACTTTCATGTTATTAGAAAGTTAAATGGTGATATCCATAGTAATTTAAACATAGGAGTCAATTGAGTTATATTTATTATTCTGCATGAAGTTTCGATCTTTTAAGATGTTCCCAGATCTAAAGAATACCATGTAGCTTATTCATTCCTTTTTTTCTAACCTTTGGTCCTCCTACCTTTCTAGTTCCTAGAAAAACTATCTCATCTAAGACTCCTCCATCGAATGGCTGTTCGACTGCAGCATCTGGCTTATGTTGTCCACATTTGCTTCATTCGAAATCCATTCTAAAGTTTTAGCTCTTGGCACACTTGATTTCTTTGAATTCATTCAAATACATATTGTAGCTACTACAGTCCGCCTCCTCACAAGTTGCTGCTGGGTTGCGGTATTCTCAGCCATCAACGAGCCAGCAACCGCCATCTGGAACGGATATAACGGTGGGCGTATCACCACTTTCCTCTCTACCTTCTCCTTCCATTTCCAGTGCCTCATTATTAACGGGTATTGGTTTAAGTCCGGGTTCCGGCCCTGCTTCTGGCCCTGGTTCCGGTTCTGGTCCTGATCCTGGCTCCTCTGGACAGTCACCACTTCAAATGTTGGGTGCAATGAATCCAGCTCTTTTGGCACAATATCAGGTTATTCTAGCTGCCGCTGCCCAACAGCACCAAGCTGCTGCAGCGGCAGCTGCGACATTAGCTGCCGTATCTGGTGGACGTTCACCACAAATTGGTAAGTTTTATTCTCCCCATTTATATAGATCACACATCTCCATCGTCTTACTGCTTCGAACTACAACACATTTAAGTCATACCGCATATTAGGATATTTTCAAACATAAAATCTTCCCATCAGATTTCTTGCTTGCGTTGCTGACGTCTTAGCTTGTAGTTAGATCCACAAGTGATTGAAATATGTATCAGTTTATTTAATTTTCTGTTACCAGAATCCATTTTTACATAATGGATCAGGAAAATAATTCAGTTTGGTAATATGTTGCTTTAAATACGATTTTTTTTATTAGACCACCAGTTCAGTTGATATTTCATGTTTTTAACAAAACATATCCTTTGAAAAATTAGCTTTGCATATTTCAAACTAAATGACAGTGCGTTTTCTAGATATATTATGATCATCGCAAATCCTGTTAATTTTCAGGATCGCGTGTAGGACCACCTTCGACGCCTGCGCTAACCCTTGAACAGAATTTACACCGGCATTTATTACAGTTACAACAACAGCAGCAATTTGCAGCTTCGGGTACTGCCATCCATTTACTGCCGTCACCACCACTACATGGTACAACTTTAATGACGCAAATGCATGCTGCATTAGCAGCTGTTGGAGTACTGCCGCAACCTCCGCAGGCTCTGCCGACTCACACAACTGCTCAACTTACACATCCACGTGTAACACCAGCTGCCGTAACTCAGTCAATGCCATCGTTAAGTGCCGAAACAAGTTCACGTCCATCACGGGTTGAATTCATACAGCCTCAGCCACTTCTCTCGCGCGCTGCTGTTGCAACTGCGCGACAAGCTTTATTACTTGCTTCTACTTCTCATGCTGCTGTTGCTGCTGCAACTGTCACCACTATCCCCACACCTTCTGCATCTACATTGCAACTCTCTACATCACAACCATATTCTCAAGGTTTTTTGCTGCTTTTCTATGTATTTTTAAAGATGTTTAATATCTTATCAGAGACAGCAAACTAAAACGTGTGTTATAAAGTTACCTAAAGAAGACGACCTAAAGAAGACAAGAGGACCTATGATCAGTGGAAGTAGATTAAGCTGCAAGTACTAAGATCTGTCATCAACCCACGGATATATGGACGTTCAAATTCACTTATATTTAATATTAATAGTAAAATATGAAAACGCCGGAACATATTTCCTGGGTATGTACGATTTGTAGGGTAATCAATTAAAATACCAAGTAACCATAAATGTTGCTGTGATGTTATTCTTTTGTTACTATTAAGCTTAGTTCGTTGCAAATATTAACACAGAGATGACACTCATCCGTTATGTTACGGGCGGACAGTAATTACCGATAATTTTGCATTTTGTTTTGGCATATATCTTGACACGATCTCCTGGTCCTAGAATACCGTCGTTTTCATTTATTTATCACATAGGGGATTAAATTTCCAAATTTATTTTTACTGGGTCTTACTTTTATCCCGTTATATATAGTTCTGAATTTGATTTATTGTAATTTAATAAACGATGCAACAAAAATAGCACTTGCATAATATGTTTTATAGCTCTCGGTCGTATTGTAATGATGCCGCCGCCTCCACTGCCTCGTGTTCGTCATGTCTTAACTCAGGAACGCCGCAGGTAATTACATTGCATAATCGATGAGAACTTGTTCGTTTGAGAAATAATATGATTCACATGAAGTTCAGTACCAGGCAAATTAGAACATTTTGAACCTTAATGATGAATAAAGATTTACCAGTTTGTTGATGATTACTTGATCTTATCTGCTGGTCTTTATCGCAAAATCATTTTTTGTGCCTTCATTTTTTTTTTTTTTTCAAAACATTATTGCATGTTTTGTAATCGTTACATACATCTCAGATTGTCAGTTTAATAAAATTGTCATATTTTTTTTTCCTTTCCATCTCCGCCTTCCTGTCATTTCTCATTTTTCTTTGCATTCTCCAAACAAATATATTCACTAGAATGAATGGTTAACTTCTTCGAAGTTGCGAAACGTTTGCGTCGAAATGTGTGTGGCGGAAACAAAAACGTTGTTTGAAATTTCACGCATTTTCTAATTAATTACGAAATCACTTTGTAGATATGCTCCTTATCAACGACCCACGCCCTCTATTCCGTTGGCCAGTGCTCCATCAACTGCTGCTCCTGCTGCTTCTACCGGTGCTCCAGAACCATCGTCTTTCCAAGTGGGAACATTGCCGTCACAACCGTATTATCCTTCTCACTTTATGCGTGGTTTGCTTAAACTCTTTTACGTTTCAAAGTTATTTCCAAACTTTCATTACCAACACGTTACGTTAACGATGATAATGTTAGCTACCTCGTTTTATACTTTTGGTTTTGAATTATGCATGGTCACTTTCCGTATATGCAACAATGCAATAAAATTTTAAATATAAAAGTTTTCCTACTGAGATTTGAATAAATGACACTCCTAATTTAATTATCATCCAGAGTAAGGTTTGGATCGGTAATTAAGTTGAAAGTGTCAGCTTTGCAACACTCGGCTCATGTCACTACTATATTTAAATTTAAACTGGTGCATTATTTGATAATACTTTTATCATAGCAGACAGGATTGAATTTTAGCTTTTATGAGCTTTCTGAAAGTACACTATTGCACCCATTTCATCTGTATGAAAAAAAGTATAGAAAGAGTACATAATCTAAACCTTAGTACAGAAAGGTGTACTAATTTTGTACTTTTTAAACTTATAGTTTGCTGTTTTGATAATGTGCTGATCCATTTCTTTTTTCCTTTACTCATTTATGCCAGTTGTGTTCTTTCTTCTTCGCAAAACTTGGTGCAGGAAATTCTGCATGGAAAAGTTAAGTGGGTAAAATTGGGTGCTGTTATCACTCCGGAAGAGGCATAAACTATCCATTACAGGTTGATGTATAAGAAGGATAATGTGCTTGCAGTAAAAAAGTACAAAAGGAGTAGGTAAAATATTTAGCAACTCACTTTGAAATTTCTTTAATGGTAAAAGGGAAAATGAAATTAATACCGTTGCTGGTTGTTGAGATCTTCCTTAACGAAAATATTTTATATTAATTTAAAACTGTTGATATATTGTTTTATGTGCTATTTTATCCGTTTCATAATCGATATTTTAAGCTTGACTTAT